CGCTGGCCAGCTCTCTGCTGCAGGGAGCTGCGGGCTCGCGCAGCGAGAGAGACAGAGCAGGGAGGGGGGCGATCAGGCAAGCGAGGAGGGCAGCCGGCGACTGCGGCTGGAGGCCCCGGGGGGTGGGGTGGGGAGGGGGGAGCAGGCAGAAAGCGGCAGGCGCTGGCTGTCCCCCAGAAGCCCTGGAAGACCGCAGGGCCTCCGAACAGCCAGCAAGGGAACGGCTTTCTACTGGTCTATGGTCCATCACAGTCGGTATTGTCTACTCAGACAGGCAGCAGTTATCCAGGGTCTCTGGTCAAGGTCTTTCTCATCACCTCCTGCCTGGTCCTTTCGACTGGAGATGCCAGGGACTGAACCTGGGACCTTCTGCAGGCCAAGCAGAGGCTCTGCCACTGAGCCAGGGTCTCCGGTCAAGGTCTTTCTCATCACCTCCTGCCTGGTCCTTTCGACTGGAGATGCCAGGGACTGAACCTGGGACCTTCTGCAGGCCAAGCAGAGGCTCTGCCACTGAGCCAGGGTCTCCGGTCAAGGTCTTTCTCATCACCTCCTGCCTGGTCCTTTCGACTGGAGATGCCAGGGACTGAACCTGGGACCTTCTGCAGGCCAAGCAGAGGCTCTGCCACTGAGCCAGGGTCTCCGGTCAAGGTCTTTCTCATCACCTCCTGCCTGGTCCTTTCGACTGGAGATGCCAGGGACTGAACCTGGGACCTTCTGCAGGCCAAGCAGAGGCTCTGCCACTGAGCCAGGGTCTCCGGTCAAGGTCTTTCTCATCACCTCCTGCCTGGTCCTTTCGACTGGAGATGCCAGGGACTGAACCTGGGACCTTCTGCAGGCCAAGCAGAGGCTCTGCCACTGAGCCAGGGTCTCCGGTCAAGGTCTTTCTCATCACCTCCTGCCTGGTCCTTTCGACTGGAGATGCCAGGGACTGAACCTGGGACCTTCTGCAGGCCAAGCAGAGGCTCTGCCACTGAGCCAGGGTCTCCGGTCAAGGTCTTTCTCATCACCTCCTGCCTGGTCCTTTCGACTGGAGATGCCAGGGACTGAACCTGGGACCTTCTGCAGGCCAAGCAGAGGCTCTGCCACTGAGCCAGGGTCTCCGGTCAAGGTCTTTCTCATCACCTCCTGCCTGGTCCTTTCGACTGGAGATGCCAGGGACTGAACCTGGGACCTTCTGCAGGCCAAGCAGAGGCTCTGCCACTGAGCCAGGGTCTCCGGTCAAGGTCTTTCTCATCACCTCCTGCCTGGTCCTTTCGACTGGAGATGCCAGGGACTGAACCTGGGACCTTCTGCAGGCCAAGCAGAGGCTCTGCCACTGAGCCAGGGTCTCCGGTCAAGGTCTTTCTCATCACCTCCTGCCTGGTCCTTTCGACTGGAGATGCCAGGGACTGAACCTGGGACCTTCTGCAGGCCAAGCAGAGGCTCTGCCACTGAGCCAGGGTCTCCGGTCAAGGTCTTTCTCATCACCTCCTGCCTGGTCCTTTCGACTGGAGATGCCAGGGACTGAACCTGGGACCTTCTGCAGGCCAAGCAGAGGCTCTGCCACTGAGCCAGGGTCTCCGGTCAAGGTCTTTCTCATCACCTCCTGCCTGGTCCTTTCGACTGGAGATGCCAGGGACTGAACCTGGGACCTTCTGCAGGCCAAGCAGAGGCTCTGCCACTGAGCCAGGGTCTCCGGTCAAGGTCTTTCTCATCACCTCCTGCCTGGTCCTTTTAACTGGAGATGCCGGGGATTGAACCTGGGTCCTTCTGCAGGCCAGGCAAATGCTCTACCACTGAGCCACGGCCCCTCTTTACAGCTCTCCAGGGTCTCAGGCAGAGGGCTTTCCCATCGCAGAGGCTCTGCCACTGAGCCAGGGTCTCAGGTCAAGGTCTTTCCCATCACCTCCTGCCTGGTCCTTTTAACTGGAGATGAGGAGGCTTGAACCTGGGTCCTTCTGCAAGCCAAGCAGAGGCTCTGCCACTGTGTTTGAACGTCTATGAAGCTGCCTTCTACTGAATCAGACCCTCAGTCCATCAAGGTCCATATGGACTGAGATGGGCAGCGGCCCTCCAGGGTCTCAGGCAGAGGTCTTTCACCACACCTTTTATGTTCTGTGTGCTGGAAGTTAAAGGGGGGGGGGTCGTGCTTCATTTTCCAGAGTTTCTCCCGAACACAGCCTCCTTTCCCAGCTCCACCGCAAGCAAATGGAGTGTGAAGACATTACTCTTGCTCCACTCACTGTTTCTGGAACGTGAGACAAGGAGCCACGCTGAAGATCGGAAGGACAGTATAGCCCTGTGTTTCTTCAGAGGGGACATATGGTCCCTCGAGGTGTTAACTACAATTGTGGAGATGGATTGGGGATTTTCAATGGCCCTGATTCCCCACTCCTTGCAATGGCTTAGAACTTAAGAACATAAGAGAAGCCATGTTGGATCAGGCCAATGCCCCATCCAGTCCAACACTCTGTGCCACACCGTAGCCAAAACCCAGGTGCCATCAGGAGGTCCCCCAGTGGGGCCAGAACTCCAGAAGCCCTCCCACTGTTGCCCGCCTGAGCCCCCTCCAAGCACCAAGAAGACAGAGCATCACTGCTCCATACATAAGAACATATGGGAAGCAATGTTGGATCAGGCCAATGGGCCATCCAGTCCAACACTCTGGGTCACACAGTGGCCAAAACCCAGGGGCCATCAGGAAGTCCACTAGCGGGGCCAGAACTCCAGAAGTCCTCCCACTGTTGCCTCCCAAGCACCAAGAATACAGAGCATCACTGCACCAGACATAAGAACCTAAGAGAAGCCATGCTGGATCAGACCAATGGCCCATCAAGTCCAATACCCTGTGTCACACCGTGGCCAAAACCCAGGGGCCATCAGGAGGGCCCGCAGTGGGGCCAGGACCCCAGAAGCCCCCCCACTGTCCCCCCCCCCCGCACCAAGAATACAGAGCATCCCTTGCTCCAGACTAAGAGTTCCATCTCCACCTTGTGGCTCAGAGCCACTGATGGACCTCTGCTCCGTATGTTTATGCAGTCCCCTTTGGAGGCAATCTAGAGACCTGAACCCCGGGCTGTGGCCTTCTGGTCTACTGTGATCGGCTGTGGGGGAAATTGGACAAAGCTCCCTGCGTTGTGTGGTTCCAGCTGGTGCCTGACATTTTCAGTATTTAACAAAGCCCCCCTGCCCGCCCGCCCCATGTCCACGGCAAGGAAAGGAAGAGGGGGCAGCCACGGTGCCACCCTGGGGCCCTTTCATCTCAACGGAGTGGCGGATCCGGGCCTGGAGTGAGGGCCTCCTCCCTCGCCGCAGGGGCCAACCCTTTGAAATGTCTCTCAAGGACTCAGGCGGGCTGGCTCAGAAATGACGTTCCTTGCATAACAACAGTTCGGGGCACTGCTCTCCGGTTTCCAGAGAATCGTGGTGGAGGAATACTGGCCAGCCTTTCGAGAAGGAAACCCTCTTCTGGCATTAAGCACCCTTGCGAGGATCCTGCCCTCACCCCGGTCCCCTTGACAGTTGACACGACACTGAAATCCATTTTCGGTTTCTGCTGTTATGATAAAACCTGGAAGAGGACTCCCAATAAAGCATTCACGAGGATTGCCAGTTCTCCGGCGGGGATGGGGGGGTTGGGGTTCTCAGGTTGAGATACCCCTGGAGATTTGGGGATGGAGCCTGGGGAGGAGAGGGAGGTCGGTGGGGCGCAAGGCCACGGAGTCCCCCCCTCCAAAGCAGCCATTTCCTCCAGGGGAAACTGATCTCTGTAGTCTGGAGATGAGCTGGAATTCTGGGGGATCCCCAGGCCCCACCTGGAGGCTGGCATCCCTAGTTAAATCTGGGGTCCGGAGCAAGAATAGCTGCAGCTGCCAGCATGGTCAGCAACATTTCCTATCTCGATCAGTGTCTACTGGGCGGGGAACAACATTTTGCATTCACACCCAATCATTCACCTCCCTGGCCGTCAAAGTCAGCGTGCATCTTTGTCCACCCCCACCCCCCATCAAAAGAGGAGAGCTTGGTAAAAGGTAAAGGTAAAGGTTTCCCTTGCTCGAAAGCTTGGCTGGCTCTTCGGCTTGGAAACGGAGATGAGCACTGCAACCCTAGAGTCGGACTCGACTGGCTTTCGGGCAACAGAACCTTTTTATGTATGTATGTAATTAAACAGTCCCTCCCGCCCTGATATCTATGTGATTTAATTTGGTCCTACTGGGTGGAGCGCTTGTGTTTACTTACCAGTTTTGTATGTTAGCTGAAGTTGGTTGATGGAGTTGCTCCTCCATTTCTTGCTTTCAAACTCCTAGGTTGGCAGGAGACGGGGCCAGAGACGGAACTCACTCCGTCACGTGGCACTCAGGTCTCGAACTGCTGAACTACCGACCTTCCAGTCTGCAGCTGCAGCGTCTTAACCACTTAACCAACATTTCCCCAAATCACAAAAATGGGGTGTGTGTGTGTGTGTGAGTGTGAAAGAACCATACCTGGAAAAACTAGCCCCTTGGTAAATAGGAGCAATCCAGTGTAAGGGTGGAAAGAGCGTCCCCCAAATCCCCATGCCTATCACACTAACTCAGTTTAGAGGGAACACTGTTGGGAAACCACAGCAGAGGGGGACATTGACAACTCTACCCACACTGACAAGTCTACCGATACTCCTGATCAGTGTTCCCTCTAAGCTGAGTGAGTGTGAGCCAACTCACAGTTTTTTAGCCTCCGGCTCACACATTTTTGCCTCAGCTCAGGTAGGAGGGCTCCAGAGCAGACTCATGTATGCAGCAGCCTAGTCGCTGGCTCACAACTTTAATGCCAGTAGCTCACGAAGTAGAATGTTTGCTCACAAGACTCCACAGCTTAGAGGGAGCATTGCCCCTGATATATTTTAGTACACTCAGAGGGTTTCTATTGGGAAAGGACAGTCTTTATTTATGCCAAAAATAAATCCTTCCAGCTTTGTCTTTATAAAATGGCTGCTGTGTTCACCCGGGCGATGCATTGCTGCCCGTCAGGGGTCTCAAGAAATGAATTCTTGGCGGGGCGGGGTCTGCAGTAGTCTTCGGACAGCGCTGGCTCTTCGGCTTGGAAACGGAGATGAGCACTGCAACCCTAGAGTCGGACTCGACTGGCTTTCGGGCAACAGAACCTTTTTATGTATGTATGTAATTAAACAGTCCCTCCCGTGGAGAGTGGACCCCCCCAGTGACTCCAAGGCGGGCAGGCCAGGGGGGCCCTGAAAGGATCGGGGAGGCCTTTCCCGGCCTGTCCAAGGCTGTGGGGTGCCCAGGCAAGCCAAGGGAAGGCCGTTTAAACTGCCTCCCCTCCCCTCCAAGGCTCGGGCAAGCCAAGGGAAGGCATGGGGGTGTGGCCTAATGTGCTAATGAGCTATGCTGTCAGGGGTGTGGCCTAATATACTAATGAGTTTCTGCTGTTGGGTGTGGCCTGTTATGCTAATGAGTTCCTGCTGGGCTTTTTCTACAAAAAAGCCCCCTGATGCTGATGCACATGAGAACTGGGAAGGAAACGCCGTCCTCCACCTCCAGCCAGTTGGTTTCTTACGCCGCTGCCTTGCTCATCACCTGGTCTCTCTTCTGTCTCCCCCCCCCACCCCTCCTCTCCCAACGCAGGGCTCTCAGACAACCTAACCGACCTGGAGAAGAGAAGGCAGATCTACGGACAGAACTTCATCCCCCCCAAGAAGCCGAAGACCTTCCTGCAGTTAGTATGGGAGGCGCTCCAAGACGTCACGCTGATCATTCTAGAAATTGCTGCCATCATCTCCCTGGGCCTGTCTTTTTACGCCCCACCGGGCGAGGAGAGCGAAGGTGAGATGCCGTGGTTCGGTGGCAGAGCGTCTGCTTGGTGCGCAGGAGGTCCCAGGTTCAATCCCTGGCAACTCCAGTTAGAGGAGTCAGGTGATGGGAAAGACCTCCGCCTGAGACCCTGGAGAGCCGCTGCTAGTCTGAGTAGACAAGACTGACCTTGAGGGATCAAGGGTCTGGTTCAGTATAAGACAGCTTCGTGCGCGTTCATGTGCTCTGCCATTGGCAGGTGTTCTGTGCAATGTTCCCTGTAAGCTGTGGAGTCTTGTGAGCAAAAGTTCTACTTTGTGAGCTACTGGCATTAAAGTGGTGAGCGAGCGATTTGGCTACTGCATAAATTTGTTTGCTCTGGAGCCCTCCTTCCTGAGCTGAGATGAAAACGTGTGAGCCAGAGGCTAAAAAGCTGTGAGCTGGCTCACACTAACTCAGCTTAGAGGGAACGTATAAATTGCAGAAGTGACGTTTCCTCCCCACCCCAGTAAGGTTTTGGCTACTGTATTGGGGTTTGTTGGTGGTGGTGTTTATGTGTATGTTTGTTCCCTGATGTACAAATTGATGAGAACTGGTAGTTAATGGCAAGAGGATGGAGGAGATCTGTTTTGTCATGTAGGTTAGTATGTTGGATATGTATGAGGGGGTGTTGTTATGTGCGGGTGGATGTTGTTATATATGTATTTTTTGTGAGGGGGTGTTGTTATGTTTATATTTTGTGGAAAACGAATAAAAATTATAATTTAAAAAAGAAAAGAAAAATCCCATTGTATCTAAAGACCCATTTCCACGCGTGGAAGGCCACGGTGCTAGCCAATGGAGTGTCAATGTAAATCTATGTTTTGTGACATAACTTTAGTTTCTCACTGAATGGTGCAGCTAAGAATGCCCTTTCAAAGTGAGACATGGTGAGCACTCACAGGGCTTTTCGGCATGCTGTCAGGTCCCCCCAGCAAACAACGTAGTACACACTTACTAGAAGGTTTTACTTTATTGAAGCTATGAAGCACTTGAACAGGGTCACTGTTCAGATTAACGAAGACCCAAAAGGCATGAAAGGTTAAAGCAAGTTCATAAACATAACAGCCAATAAACATGGTTCCCGCGCGCGGCCAAGGGGTCCAGCGCGCGCCTAAACCTTGGGAAAGCAACGGCTACCTAATTGTAAATAGGTATGCTATTCCCATGGCTTTTGCTAATTAAAGACAAAGCAAAGCTCCTCTGCTCTTCCACCTGTGGCCTTGGCGAGATAGCGTTACCTCAAAGCAGGACTGGCGTACTCTGAAAGGAATGCATAGCTACTGGGGAGATGTGCGCATGACAAGCCAATCGCATCTACGGGGGGCGAGATTCAGGGGTGACTATATACACATAGAAAAGAACCTTTGGCAGCTTGCTGACACATGCTCATTTTCCTTGCTTGTAAGTTCCTGGCTGCAGGAGGGACCAAAACATATGTGGAACAGGAGGGAAAAAACCTCTAAAGAAACAGGGGCTGCGGTCACAGACTAAATAATCCACTTTCAGGGCACTTTCCAACTGGGGTTTTTACTGCGTGAACTGGCAGAATCCAGTTGGGAAGTGCATTGAAAGTGGACTATTTCATCTGTGTGACCGCAGCCCCTGTTTTGCTCCCTCTAGTGGTCAATTCAATATTACACCGTTCTATGTCCGGCATATCTCCCTGCACATTGAAACGGCAAGCTTTTGTACCGGACATACACTGGTGTAATATCAAATCATCCACAAGAGGGAGCAAAACACATGCAGAACAGAAAAACAAAACCCAAAGATGAAGGGATTTACAAGCAAAGAAAATGAGACTGCGGAAAAGCTGACATTTGCACAAGAGCCATGCCACATCCAGTACTACCACTTGCGCGGTGACCCTTGCAGTAATGGAACGTCCCTTACTTGGAGACGGACCCTGGTGTTGTTTCATTGGATACAAGCTGAGTTTGTTCCAGGTTTTGGGGAGTCCCCTATAACGACTACCAGCACCCCTTCCTCCCCTCCATGTCCCTCACCTGTCTGTGCGTTGTTCCCCTGCACGCGCACAAGCTCACCCACTGCTTGCGGTTTCAGCTGCCCACACGGCATGCACAGCTTTTCCCCAATGGTGCTGGGGGGGGGGGAATACAGCTGGAATTGCCACTCCCCTAGCTCCCAGGAGGAGCACACCACTCACATGCCTTTCCAAGTCAACACTAGGCAGCATAGGCAGCCAGGAGTGTGAACATAAGAAGAGTCCTGCTCAGTCAGACCAACCAGTCCACCTAGTCCAGCATACTGTCTCACACACAGTGGGCAACCGGTTCCTCTGCAGGGCCAAGAACAGGGCAGAGAGGCCGAGGCCTTCCCCTGATATAAACCTCAGAAGAGCCCTGCTGGGCCAGACCAGGGAGGGTCCCTCCAGTCCAGCATCCCGTCTCACACAGGTTTGGAGGAGGAGCTGCTGTTGCCACCGCTTGCTCTAGGAAGGCAGAGGCTGCAAGCAGAAGGGGAGAAAAAGAGGAAGAAGAGCTGGGGAGGGGGAGGCTGAGGCAGTGGTGGCACTCTCGGTGGGCAGGCAGGTGGGCAGGGAAGGAGTGGGAACTGCTGCCCCCTCGCTGAGCTGCAGAGGTGGGGAACAGTGGGAGAATGGACGGCCTAGTGAGCGAGGGGAAGGGAGCGGGAGAACGAGAAAGGAAGAGAGAAGGTAACAAGTGTGTGGGTGTACATGCAAGAGAGAGGGAGATGGGAAGCACTGGGACTGGAGAGAGAAAGAGAGAAGGTAAGGAGTGTGTGTGTGTGACAGGAGGCATTGTGGGACACAGAACAAATGAGCAAAAAAGAGTGACAGCAGTGGTTGGGGGACAGAGAGAGTCTTATAGGCATTGGGGCAAGGTGAATGAGAGAAAGAAGAAGACTAGGGCTGTGGTCACAGACTAAATAATCCACTTTCAGGGCACTTTCCAACTGGGGTTTTCACTGCGTGAACTGGCAGAATCCAGTTGGGAAGTGCATTGAAAGTGGACTATTTCATCTGTGTGACCGCAGCCCCTGTTTTGCTCCCTCTAGTGGTCAATTCAATATTACACCGTTCTATGTCCGGCATATCTCCCTGCACATTGAAACGGCAAGCTTTTGTACCGGACATACACTGGTGTAATATCAAATCATCCACAAGAGGGAGCAAAACACATGCAGAACAGAAAAACAAAACCCAAAGAAGAAGGGATTTACAAGCAAAGAAAATGAGACTGCGGAAAAGCTGACATTTGCACAAGATCCCTGCCACATCCAGTACTACCACTTGCGCGGTGACCCTTGCAGTAATGGAACGTCCCTTACTTGGAGACGGACCCTGGTGTTGTTTCATTGGATACAAGCCGAGTTTGTTCCAGGTTTTGGGGAGTCCCCTATAACGACTACCAGCACCCCTTCCTCCCCTCCATGTCCCTCACCTGCCTGTGCGTTGTTCCCCTGCACGCTCACAAGCTCACCCACTGCTTGCGGTCTCAGCTGCCCACACGGCATGCACAGCCTTTCCCCAATGGTGCTGGGGGGGGGGGGGGTAAAGGTGGAATTGCCCCCTCC